TGCTGATGTTCAATGATTTTATGACAAGATGATTACCTTTCAAATTTTCTCATCACTTGCAAAGCTTGTTGTGTTGAGGAAACTCTGTTGTAACATGCATCGATAAAAATGTAAAGCTGTGTCTATAAAAGTTAAAAAAGAACGTTTTAATACTTAAGAAACTACTACAAAAATTTTCTGAAGTTGTATATAGTATATTATATGAAAATACAATGTCAATGACGTAAACATCGGAATCTGCATATATAATGAGCTACACAATAATAAATCGATTGATAGCAAATTCAGACGAACTTTATACATATTGTTAAGCGTTTAATGCATTTTTAAGTGAATATACATATTTGCTGGGCTGCTGTGGAAACACATGTTGAAACTCATGAATATCATGATTGTGTCCACTGAGAGGCAAGATAAAAAGTTCGTTCAAGCAAACTTTCATCTCGCCCGGTGCGGCCACCATTTCAAATAACCATCTATACCAGTTTCTTAAATAAAAACAAGATTAAAAGAAGTTGACTGTTAACCTGTAGTTCCTGAATCTGTCTTCTAAACTCTTCATAATCAACATCAAATTCCATCTTCCTGTAATCCAACAAATCATACGGTTTCTTTTTAATGGTCGTCAAGATCAACTGAAACCTGCTCCAAATCTGTTCAATTCCCTCAATCTTCGACTCCCCGAGAATCAAGAAAGATTTAATGGTACTCATCATATCAATAATCTTATGACACCGTCCTGTAAAGCTGTTTATCTTGCCGAAAATATACATCTCGCTGAATTCGAACTGTCTTTCCTCTGGGTTTTCTTCCAGTTTTTTCTTAGCTCTTTGAAAACTCTGTTGATATGCTTCGTTCAGTTTCACGCAGTCCATAAGTTTTGAGATCAGTTCCTCTTGAGGATAGTCCCAAACAGTCTTGAAGCCTTCTTCTGTGATGTAATTCTTACACGCTGTGATCATCTGGTTAGTTATCTGGAACAAGAACACGATAAAGTTACCTTGTTAATAATTTATGAGGAAATGAACCAACCAGTTTGCTTTATTTTGGTCACATGATACTCAAACCTGATATTAAGTCCAATAGTTAAGTGGATAAATGCTGGTCTACACTTTCAAACTGGAAGCACTCTTCTCACATGTGACTGAGGCGAAATTATAGTCAGACGAAATAATAGGTCACCGAGATGACAGGCACATAAACTAGTCACAATGGCAGCGACACTCACCTTAACAAATTTAAGTCGCTTTAAAAGACACTTACCTTAACAAATAGAGCAGTCATTCTTTCAGAAGTGTTATAATAACGAGAATATGAGTTGATCATTCGTATAGCGTTGATGAAACCAGGAATACTATCAAACATGGCGACCTTTAAGAAGAAATATTAAATAAATTGAAACTGTCTGCTAGTTTGCATGCCTGCCTGCCTGCCTGCCTGCCTTTGTACAATTATTTATTATCTTAAAAGAGAAGATATAACTTACCGGATTGTTTTTATATAGCGGTTCAGAGAACTTCTCCAAGGTGTAAAGAAACTTGACATTGTCCTTCGCTTCGTTGGCATAGTCTGTAATTCTGCTGTCAATATCGCGCCAGTTCTATGAAAGTCAAATCATCGTGAAAATAAAATTTAAACTAACCAGTGTCGTTCCCTAGAGGTCTAGTAAGACGTACACGCGTAATAAAAATCTCACAGCTTGTCAACAAGATATGTTCGCACTGCTTGTTCCAAGTTGTTGACAAGTCTAAAACAAGTTGTTATCATCTTCTAACAAGATTGACGAGGCCAACAAACTGGCAACAAGTTGTTCCAACAAGTCTGATATATCGTCTGCACATAACAAGAGAACTTGTTACGAACAGCTTGTATATTAGTCTTGTTGGAACAACTTGTAACAAGTCTGTTACCGTCATCAACCTTGTAACAAGGTGTAAACAACTTGTTCTAGACTTGTCACAACAACTGGGAACAAGCAGTGCGAACACATCCTGTGATCGTCTCGACAACAACCTTGTTACAACTTCCCCACCTTTAAAAGTTTAGACTTTGCAGCATGAAGAACACCCACGACAGCTTTGCACTCTGGTCCTTTGATTTGATCAAATAGCGAGTTAAACTTCGCCATTCTTTTCTTCCAGTAATCCAGTTCGGCTCTTGGCCCCACATTGTCAGCTTCCTTTCGCATTTGTTCACTTTCTGCCAGAACCTGAGGAGATGAAGAAAACTTGTTCAAGGACATTGTTGGAAACAGAGGCTGAAGAGATAGACTGTGTAACATATGATTTAAATATCATTGAACCTGTTCAATTTGTTTCATCCAGATTGCAATAAGCTCTTCAATTTTCGGCAGCATATCACTCGAGTTGGCTGCATTAATATAATCAGTTGGTGTTGTTATTTCATTCAGATCCAGTGTCTCGCATTCTTTCAAGACAACCGTATCGTCAAGACTATCTTGCGCAGCAATCAATACTGAGACAAAGTTTTGTAGTTGGTTTATAAACTCCTGACGAATCTGTTGGCCATGTTTCGTGGACAGTTCACCCCAGCTTGCGGTCTTGCCCAGCGCAGGGAGAAAGATCTCGGATAGAAGGCGTTCTGAGGCGTGAAGAAGCCCTGTCTTCCTTGTATCGAGGACACCAAAACTTACTTCCTGTTAGTGGACAAATAAAATATACGAGTGTTCATCGGCGGATAGTTCATGCATGCTTACAAACCCAGTTAACAAACAATAAACAACATCTTACATTGTTTATGTTGACATTAGTGATTGCCTTGTTGACATTGGATCTGATGAAAAACACGCAAATGCCGTGAATAGGATCTTCCGTGCCATCGGTGAGGAATAGTTTTGGTTTTGTGGGTTTTATAGGAACCTTCTGTGCACCTCCTGGACCAAGACGTACTTGCTCAACTGAAAATTACGAGAAACTTTGTGTAGGAATGTATGCTTGTAGGAAAGTATGCTGGTGACTTTCACCGAATGCAATACCAGTATACCAGGCCCAGTAAACTCGTGAATTGTAAATAGGATGGGTGCTCAGACCTGGTTGGGTGAGGTTAAAAATAAATGGGAGGTTGGCGATCAGGACGATGGAGGAGGTTGATGGAGGAGGTTGGTACAGTTGGCAGCAGGTTAGCTCAGGAATATGGAAACATTTGAGGGTGGGGAGATAGAAGCTAATGGGGGG